TGGCTGCTCCTCCCTGGAAGTGTTGAAGGCCAGGCTGGATGAGGCTTTGAGCAACCTGGTCTGGTGGAAGGTGTCCCTGCTGATGGATCTGGATGAGCTTTGAGATCCCTTCCAATACAAACCAGTCTGGGATTCTATGAAATTGTGGCTGGTGGGCACTGGGTTGGCCGTGGGCTCCCTGGAATCACTCCTCCCTCTGTCCCATGGATCAACCTGGCCACCATTCATTTGGGAATCACTGGGAATAAAATTGGATGTTGCATCTTCCCCAGTATCTCAGGGTGGCTCTGGGGGCAGCCTGTGGGGTTAACCCCCCCCCCCCGACTAGTGCAAACTGGGGAAGAACTGGTGGGTCCATGTGGGGTGGAGGGAGGGAAGATGTGGGGTGGAGGGAGGGAAGTGTCCCCACGGTGAGCTGCCTGCTGCTGCTCATCCTTCCCTCTTCCTGCAGAAGCAGAAAGGGGTCCCCATCCCTGAACACCCCTCCTGCACCACCATCTACGCCGCAGCCACCGGTCTGCCCCCAGACACGGCCCTGACCCACAGCAGAACCCCCCACCCCTTGACAGAACCACCCTCCATGAAGAGTCACCCACCTCTCTTGCAGGTAAGAGTCCCTGGTCCTCACCTTGGGTGAGCATCACTGTGGGACACCCCATGGCTGATGGGACACATCGTTGACCTTTTTCCTCCCCTAATTTTTGCTGCAGAGCCCTGACAAGGAGCCCACAACGGTTTATGCCAGTGTGATGATGCCCATGGCCTGAGCCTCTTTGGCCAACCCAACCTCTACTCGCTGGGCACCAACATCCACCTTCCCACTGGAGGAAAACCCTGCTCATCCCTTGGGAATTGTGGTGAAACCCTCCAGCACGTGCCAACCGCCGCTGATTTGGGGCCACAATGATGGCCATGGACATGAGGGATGGTGGAACAAAGAGATGGTGGAAGCAAGGCAAGAAATCTCCTTGGGTGGTGGCTAAAGTTGGCCAGCAAGATGCCAAAGCACCAAGGAGAAGAGCTCTGGGTTGGACCACGAGTGTGGGAGAGGGAATTGGTACCTCGAAGGGAAGGGTCAACCCATCAGCACCACGGTGGAGCCCTGGGAAGTGTGGCCGGAGCATATTTACACCCCAATTTCATCCCTGCCTCGTGGATTTTCACCCCACGGCTTTATCCTGTGGCCTCGGCTTCACTAGAGGGAGCCCCTGGCTCGTGGCAGCTGGTGACACCGGTGACACACGGGGTCCAATGACAGCGGGGAAAAATCACAGAAAAAAAAACCAACCCAGAAGTTATTCTTTCCTTTTGATATTTTATTTTATTT